ACGACAGCAACTTACGAGACCATTACCATAAAAAATAACAGTTATCATTAGGATTGGAGGCAAAACATCAATTTAGAATTATTTAGCAGGATTGCCATTTGTAAATGTACATTTAAGCAAAATATATTTTATTAAACAATAATACCTTCTTTTATTTATCTTTCTAAGAGATCAATCAGTTCCCCTGTACTCAAAATAAAGAAGCAATCTGATTCTCTGCAAAGTTTTATATCTAAATTTCCAAATCAATATCTGATATGATAATGTTTATTACACGAATTATCATATAATTTACTAAAATAAAGTTCCACTTGGATATAAGTAGTAGCTTATTTTACTCTAGACATATAGTTTCTTTTAACATAATATTAAATTATTATTTTTGTATTGTTATGTATTTGTGATATTTCATAAAAGGGTAATTATCACTAGTAGGTAATGAGGGGTATAGGTTCAAAAGTGCCTCTGTCCACTTTTTTCAATTTCCATTTTATTTTTCAATTTTATAAAGACCAAAACTGAATACTGTCTACTAAAGATAAAAATATTACAATAAAAATTTGCCATCTAAGAACTGTGTTTGTTTTAAAGTAAATATTACTGCAGCATAAAGCGATACATAGAACGTACTATTAGTTATTGAGATTTGAAAATATGATAAAGGGCGGTTTTTGAATTCATCAATGGATATAGGCGCTTTTGTATTTAATTGTCCAGGATAGAGGAGGTATTGCTGTTAATTAATTACCTTGATCAGCACTATGCAAAAATGAGTAAGTAGGTAGGTAGGTACTTAGTAAACATAAATACATTAAAAGAACAGCAAAAACACAAAAGGTTCACTTTATTATTAGTATAGTAATCAATCAGATTAGTTTTAGTATTAATTGTAATTAATACTATTTCGATTTCTTTTTCACATGATGAAAGTTATATATTTAGAGGACACTTATACAAACAAAAAATGATATGAACATAATATCGTAAAGCGTCATGTTCTTGAGATATTCAAAGATTAAAATAACAATTTTCACTTTTCGACTTGACTATATTTTGGTCAATAACTCTAAAATCTGACGCTAGGATATATGTTATAAATATTTTTTTTGTTTGTATATCTGTCCTCTATCGTAATATATAACTTTCGCTGTGTGCCATGATTATGAAAAAAAATCAAAATGGCGAAAGATCGTTAGGGATACCCTCCATACAAAAAACTTAATCCGCTTTAAATACTAAGACCTACTTCTTCTAGATGCTCACATGGTTCATCGCTTTGCTCAACATTAACACCACCATCGGAATTTGTTTCTAGTATATTTTTATAAAATGAAAGCTGTTCATTGGACTGCCAGTTGCCACCAAAGTGTTTTGTTAACAACTTTTCAACGTCAGTTATCTGCAATGTACTCATATTCACCTGAAAAGGTGGTATATCTCGAACATCATAATCAGATATACTGGACACATCACGTTTTATTATGCTTTTTGCCACCCCAAGATCTGTTTTATAATTTACTTCACCACGCAACAAGAAACGACCTGGCTTATTTTTAACTCGTGATAAATAGTATCGTTTGCATTCTGCAAACCGAAAGTGATACTGACCTGGTGGTTTCATTGTGTCACTAGCAAAACTTTTCCAATCTTTTACTGGAACGTCTCTACTGAGATGATTAATTATCCCATATTTAGAATAAATTTCATGATACTCTGTTGGGTGAATGATTTGCTCCTTATTTTTAATTTCTTTTTCTATTAGCCCAAAAATTCGGTCTGCAGGCATAAAAGAATGGCCGGGAACAGGAAAAATCAACTCAACTATTTTGATTTCTTTTGGGGCAGAGGTGGTCAGCCAAAATGCACACATTGCTATCATTGTACTATTTTTGTTTTGGGATCCACATCCATCTGCCATAATCCGAATTTTATTTTTCCCTTCCAAATTAGTATTTGATAATAAGTGAAAAACTGCCGATGCTATCTCATTAGATGATTTTCCATAAACATTTTCGGTCCATGTATATATTCTTACATTTTCTTTTGGAAACTTATTTGTTGATGTTCCAATAACAACGGTAAAATTATAGATGTATAACTGCCTGCTATAATAGGCAGCTTGGTCTGCCACTTTTGGCAGAACTTGATTTTTTTGGCAGTCAAAAGAGATAGTGAATGTATTTTTATCATGTTCGCGTAAATATGTATAAAACATTTTAGCTTTTAATTTATGTATACGTAACGTTGTCATGAGCTGAACTTTTGCAGCATCATTCTTTTCAGCTTTCAGTTTTTCCGTTAGCTCTAAACATTTGGAGCACACGTCTGTGCCTGGAGTCTTAAAACCAATATTGTAATGTTTTACAAATATATTTCTAAAATAACATTCTTTTACCTTAAGAGATTCATATTGTTGATTTGTTTGATACATTTTCCACATCTTTTTAATATTCAAATCAGATGGAACATATTTCCTTGTTGCAGTTGCAGATCTACAATAGTGTGATTCGATGCATTTAAATGATTGTATAAATTTCATTACATTTTCTTTTTTATGTGCATTTTTGGTCGAAATCCTGTCGCCACCTCGATTTTCGCGAGGAAAGTCCCCATTTAGCAAAAATTTTTTTGAAATATTTCGAAGTCTATGCACGCCGACACCTAAAATACGTGCAAAAGTCTTTTGGCAAACCTGTATGAGTTTGTAAGGTTTCACGTAAGTTCTAATATAAAACTTTGTGTATGATTTTAAGGCAGCGCGTTGTCCCACTTTACGTCGTCGCCGCACTGGTGTATGAACTTAATGTATTTTAATATAAAATTATCTTGGTAAATTTTACAAGGCTTTGAATAAAAGGTTTGGTGAAATTTTCTGATGTCTCGTGGATTCAAAGAACTACACTTTAATTTGCCGCTGTTATGCTTGTACGCTCTAATATCATTTATATTGGGCGGTTTTTTTGATGAATATCTGAAATTAAATTTTAGTCATTTAAATACGAAAGTGCACCTTTTCATGTAAAATGTGATAATAGGTACGCACAGCAGCAAGTTAGGTGTAACAGTTGCAATACAAAAATACCTCTAATTACGTAGGGCATAGAGGCGCGCGCAAGGTCAACATGTTACGTCTGACCTGCTGCTGTATGTACTTCTGCTACGTCTACCGACGAAAGTAATAAAATAGCGTGGTAATTTTCTGCATAATGACACTCACACTAGGCAAAATACAAGGCATTAGATACATACCTTTCACGCCGTTTTACATTGCGTTTCCATTGTGATTTATTGCGGATCTTTTTCCTTGCTGTATTACCTTCTACAGGAACAATATTTATTTCCATTTTTCACTTTTCTTTCAATTAATATTTGATAAAACAACGGCACACTGTTTAGAAAACAATACTCAAGACGCCATTACATTCCTAATAAAATGACGAGCTTGTGATTGGTTGACTTCAGACAGAGGAGCTTTTGCACCTGAGGTATTGAATAGAGGAGGTTTTGTACCTAAACGATAATTTCAAATTTCATTTTGTATGTGATAGAGGCGACTTTGAATACGTTTGCTTAAATACAACACAAAAATGATAAGTCAGGAATGTTACCAGATATAAATATCATAAAGCATAAAATTTGGACAGAGGCGCTTTTGAATCTAGACCCCTCAATTGTTATATCTTTATCAGATTATCAGACTGCGCTGAGCTGTTTACAATTGCTTACCTTTTTACTGGAAAAAGTTTAGGAGTTATAATGTGACTCAAAGTTTATAATCTATGAGCTAATGAAAGTAATAGTTTTAAATTTAGTGTCTTGAAGATATCGCATTATTAGGAAAATAATAAGTTAAACATGACAATAGGTAGTATGACTGAATAATGGTGGCATAGTATTAGTATTAGCGCACAGTAGAGAAAATTTACTTGTTCTATTTTTACATATTTTATTTTTATTCTGTAATTAGTAAAAATAACAGAACTAATTTAGTCTTTTTCTTGTTTCTTTTAGTTTAATAATGGCAAATTTCCTATAGTGGGTTTTTGCAGATTAAGTGACAGTTATCACTAATGTTTTAACTATATTTCTTAAGAATATTAATTGCCAAAAGCTATTATGCAACTTGCTATTTGATTTTTGTACTTTCAGATTTTTCTGCGGATAGTTAGATATCCTTTTTACAATACTCATGTTTCTTATATTTTCACATGCTTGACTACTAAATAAAAGCACTTAAAAAAAAGGTTTATCGTACCTGTATTGTTGAAAAAATATTTATTACAACAATAATCTTAACATAATTATGCAAGTTTGCCATAAAGCCAAATATTATATTATAAACACATAATATTTGTGTAAATGTATTTACCAATTTAAATATTAAATAGTGTATAAGTGAAATACCTCTACGAGGGCCCTGTTTAGGTTTCTAAGTTTAAGGTAAAGACCTTTGTTACCACATGATGCAATAATTAATCTATCTTTTCTTTGCTACATGATACATGTTTAGATAATTTGTAGTTTCTCAGTACATCCTAGTGGTGCGCGGAATCAATCTTTTGACGGAACAAGGATTTGTAAATCTTTTCATACTGAGGATATATATCACTCCTATAAATCTTCAACTCCCAAATACATCCGTAGCAGAAACAGTCAATAACTCTATACATCACTCTGATCGAGATTGAATTTTATGGTACTTAATCAACTTTGTTTTAAAAATGTTTTTTATATAGGTACATTCATTTTTCATAAACATTCAAATAATATTTAAATATGTATAAAAACTGAATACAAAAAAAATCATTGAGGTATAAGTAAGTATTTAATAAAACTTGCCACTGATTTTCCTTCATACTTTACTCACAGGCTTAGGACTGTCAACCTAGTGCTTATAGTTTGTGCTAGAAAGAAAACTAGGCAGGCGTATTTAAAAATCAGCGTATGTACATGATTTGAATTTACAAAAAAATTACAATCGTATTTACAAAATATTTACACTACTTGTTAGTGCTTATGAAGAGCAACTGCGACAATTTTTTTGATTTTAATTGGGTTCGACGATCGTTCATTGTATAACCCGCTTTTGAAAAAATTCGTTCACATGGAACTGATGTGGCAACTAGGTGCAAACGTCTTTGTATGTATTTGTACAGGAGTGGGTATACATGTCGTCTTTCACTCCACCACAGAAAGGGGTCCTTCGTACGGTGGAGAATCGGCTCAGCCAAGTACTTGTCGACTTCGACAATGCCGGCTGCAGTCGTGTTTGCCGGTCTAAGCTGAGCTACTTCCTTGTCGAACTCATCCCAGATTGAGCTACAAGTCGACGGTTGTTGTTCTTCCGGAACTTGAACCTCCGGTGGAGCCACTGTTGCGTTGCCGACTTTCTGCTTCAGAGCGACTAGGGCCCTTTCAAAACACTGCTCATTTCTAAAAGACTTTTTTTTGAAACGTGGGTCCAATATGGTCGCCTCTGTGTAGAGAGGATGGGACTCTACATGAGCAAGTCTTCTGTCGAGCTCTTGGTCTAGTTTAATCACCAACTCTCGAATTTCCATGATTGGTGAGGGTTCTCTTAGGTTTGCCTTTGAGTTAATAGAGATTAGTTTGCAGAGAGGTATAACTTTAGATAATGTCACGTTTTTTTCCGCGCTAATCTCTGTTGTTATGTCGGCAAACACTTTGAGAATGGGGATGGCATGCTCCATTAAACTCCAATCATTCTCGTCAAGCGCATGCTGTGGTGATAACAAAGCGAGGGTTGTTATTACTGCTGTTTTTATCTCGGTTAAGCGGGAAATCATATCGAAAGTAGAATTCCAGCGGGTGGAGACGTCTTGCTTCAACTTTAAAGGGGGCAATTCTAATTGCTTTTGCATTTCCCTCAACTTCGCTTGGGCGTGGGAGCTCCTTTTAAAATATTCTACAACAGCTTTTGCTTTAGCTATAGTCGGTGCAATTTGCTTAATAGCAGCTTGCACACACAGATTTACAGTGTGTGCAAAGCAGTGTATTTGCCGCCACTCTCCTTCCCTTACTGCTGCCGTTATATTTGCGGCGTTGTCTGTGGCAACAGCCGTAATTTTGTTCTGAATATCCCACTCTACAGCCATGTTTTTTAGAAATTGACAGAGGTTGGAACTAGTGTGCCGTGCATTATATTCAATACAGCCTAAAAGTACAGACTCCATTTTTAAAGTTCTTTGTTGATCTGACAGAAAGTGAGCCATAACTGCTATAAAGCTGTCATTATTTATCGATGTCCATCCATCAGTGGCCAAACATACAGCCTCTGCTTTTTCGATTTTTTTTTTGGTTGCCTCTAACACTTTTTCATATAATTTTGGCAGCAAGCTCTCACTTAATGTTTTTCGCGTTGGCAAAGTATAGCCGGGACACAGCATACCCACAAACTTTTTGAATTCTACGTCTTCAACTAATTTTAAGGGATGGTATTCGCGCGCAATCATTGTAATTAGTTGCTCGTCCAAGATTTCAGCGCGTCTTGCAGGTATAGGTTTATTAGACTGAATAAAGTCCGTTATCGAAGCAACCCGAGGCTGCACTGCTGACACTATTGTGGGTGTTGACGTGGTTTGTATTTCTAAGCACGGTGGAAGTGATGATGAGCTACAACCAGGCTGCGGCAGCGGCGGCGCAGACATTCCACTACACCCAGGAACTTCATTTTCAGCACTTGGTACAGGCTGCCTTTCTACAACCAGAGGTACGGTAGGATGCTTATTTTTCAAATGTCTGCCTAAATTACAAACATTGCCACTCGGCATGGTTAAAATCTGGGCACAGTACACACATTTTGCTTTTTTATTTTCACATTCCGTAAAATGTGACCACACTGCACTTCTTTTTCTAGGTGGAGGCATTTTCACAAACTTTTAGTACTATAGCAAGTACTTAGATAACACAATAATCGATAATATCAAAAAGTTTTTATTTACTGTCCTAACCTAACTTAAGCTTTTCACATACCTACTTTACAAAAGTCCACTTTAATATTTACATTACATATTTACAAATGTTTATATTCACTGCACGGAAATAAGTAAGTTATGGAACTACGAGTACGTACTTAGGTATAACTTTAAAACTAACAGTGTTCAGTTTAAAAGACGAACTTTAACAATCATTAATAAACAAAACACAAATCGCACAAACAGTCGAAAAAGTATAAACTTTCATTCACAGACTATGTAGAGTTCTAGCGCTTTCATTCTATCTAACAAATTTTTACTCAAGTTTAAAATATGTTCAAACGATTTCGCACTCTATTACTACTATGATAATGTGCCGTATTCCATGCAGATTTTTGTCGTCAAAGCTCGTCCTCGCTTGGACCTCCCCGCGCTCGCGCGCATGCGCGCCACGCGCGATCGTATCAATCATCTTCCATCTCTTTCAGTGGCAAGTTAACCGTATAGCTCTATCGTTTTACATCTTTTCTTTTAGTAAGTAATTCAGTAAGGAGTTGAAGAGTTGAAGATTTATTAGGCAAACTTAGGAATTAAAGAATCATTTACTTATTAGCGAGGATTTAATTCTTTTTGTCAAATCACTCAGGAGTTACACACGTCTAGTACATCCATCCATCTCTAAAAGATGGATCAACATACAAGGGGAAGCTTAATTCTTTTTATCCATTGGTTCATAATTATCTAGATAGCTACAGATTATGTTTTTAGTTCACATAGGTATATGGTTGAATGTAAATTTTAGTTTTAATCCATCACTATAACAAAGTTTGTGAAATAGAGGTACGCACTCAATAACATTGTTGTTTCTTACTAAATGGTAATTATATTCTTTCATATTGTTCTTCCTACGAAGGCATGCACTCAATTAAATTAATCACTTTTTTTTTTTTTAACTTTTCAAACACTATTTCTTTATAATCGTTATCAATATTACTAGATCACTTTCTTTTACTCGTATTATTAAATGTTTTTACTCACAAGTTATTGAAGAGGAAAAGTACGTGGTTTCAATTTGTTTTCTTCCATAATGGCTAAAAAATTTGCATGTAACAAACGAGCCTTTCTGCCTAGCCTGGATTGCATGTAGTAGTTTTTCGCGGCGTCAGCACCAATTGTTTATTACAGCGAGCTGTTCTATCTTATTTACCCACTGGTATGAAAAATATCCGAAACTTCGGGGTCGAACATAGGAATAATATCTGCTTTTGCTGAATGAATGAATGAATGAATGAATGAATAAATTCTTTATTGTACACCATAAATTATAGAGAAAATACAATTTATACAGTTTAGTTGTACAATCGGCGGCCTTATCGCTAAAGAGCAATTTCTGCCAGGCAACCGTAGGTTAGACTGGACTGTTACTAAATAGACGGGTAGTAGATGGTGTCTTACATTGCGAGAGAAATATACCTACATATATACATACAAATAACATATACATACCTCTACATATAAATATAATATACTATATATAATATAATATAATAAACATATATAATATAATATAATACAATATACATAAAAACATTTAAAATGAAACAGTACCAAGATAAATATAACAGGATGATACGATAGCATTTCTTCCTAAAGTGATAGATAGTATTCCTTTAACATATTTTTAAAACACTTTAATGAAGGAGCGCGCATTATTTCTTCAGGTAAGGCATTCCACAAGCGAACAGCCTGAACTGCAAATGACTTATCAAGGAATTTTGTGGAGTGCACAGGCACCTGCAGTTTTAGGTTCTCCGATGATCTCAAAACTCGACAGTGCGTATCACTAAGGAACTTGAAGCGTTCCTTAAGATAAGTTGGTGAGAGAGGATTGAACAGTACACTGTAAAGCAGGGAAACAATATGTGCATTCCGACGAAGTCGAATTGGCAACCACTTGAGCTTAGTGCGAAAATCAGATACATGATCATACTTGCGTAACCCAAATATGAATCTAATACAAAAATTTTGAAGTCTCTCAAGTTTATTCAGTTGCTCCTCAGTTAAGTCTAGATAGCTGACATCGGAGTAATCCAGTATTGGAAGAAGAAGGGATTGTGCGAGCGCAATTTTAGTGGCCACAGGCAAGAAGTTACGTAGCCTCTTCAAGGAACCAGCCGCAGCAAACATTTTCCGACTCGTCTGCTCGATCTGTGGTCCCCATGTCAAGTTTTTATCTATAACTATTCCCAGATTTCGTACGTTATCACTAGGGATTAAAGCAACACCATCGAACAAAATTGCAGGTAAACATGAGCGGTTGATTTTACTTGTCATTGCGGGACTGCCAACAATAATGACTTGGGTTTTCAGTGCATTTACTTTTATGCCATAGGACTTGCTCCAGTCACAAATTATTTCTAAGTCACGGTTCAGCGCATTAATCGCTAGAGACAGTTGATCAGGACAAGCTTGGGAATAAACTTGTAAATCATCTGCATAAAGGTGGTAGGATGAAACTAACTGGCGTGAGATGGAGTTGATAAATATAGCGAAAAGTAATGGAGATAAAACGCCACCCTGCGGTACACCAGCGGAAATATCACACCAAGTAGAAAAGGAATCCTCAATGCGTATTTGCTGTCGGCGCCCAGACAGGTAACTACGAAACCAGTCAATAACTGCCGGAGATATGTTAATAGAGCGCAATATGCCAAGCAAAATGTCAAAGTCAACGGTGTTAAATGCGTTACTGAAATCAAGTAGAGAGAGAACCGTAACTTTACCATGCTCCATTCCTGATCTTATATCTTCAGTTACATTCACCAGTGCAGTAGTAGTACTATGACCAGCGCGGAAACCTGATTGGTAGGAATTAAGGAGTTGATTTTTGAAAAGGAAACAGGACAACTGGTTGTGAATAAGGCGTTCCAGGACTTTGGAAAGAAATGGTAAAATGGAAATAGGCCTATAGTCTGTGAAGGATAGTGGTTTCGATTTTTTGGGTAACGGGATAACGGAAGCATCTTTCCAGGCTGAAGGAAATATACCCGTGTTTATGGATTGATTAAGAATATGGGAGATAATAGGAAGGATTTCGTCAAGGATAAGGGTAATCATTTTCCTACTGATAGAGTCCACACCCACAGCACTGGAGGTTATTGACATAATGCTCTTCTTAACATCACAGTCAGAAAATTGATGAAATGAAAAACGTGGATAGTCTGGGCACGGAAGAGATGAAAGATAATCCAAAGTGTTAGACTTGCTTGTTAAATCAAGGCCATGTGAAGACGAGAAGTGCCTATTAAGGGAATTAATATCTAAATTACTAGAGGTAGATTCTTGACGCTGTTTTCCTATGCCCAGAGATCTCAGGAATTTCCAGACTTTTGCTGGATCTTCGACTTCAACGGAGTTGTGAATAAATTGGCGTTGTGCACTCCTACACACCTTATTGCATTGATTGCGAATTTTAACATACTTTTCCCAGTTGGAGGAAGAAGGTTTACGTTTGTACTTATTTTTAGCAGCAGCCTTCCGCTCTGACAAACGTTTAATGTCATCAGTAAGCCACGGAGATGGTCGTTGCTTCATTTTCACTGGTCGAATAGGGGCGTGAACATCATACAACACTGTGAGCGCTGATATAAAAAGATTCACTTGTTCATTTACAGAGTTACTGTCGAGAAGCTGTGACCAATCAATTTTAGCAGCATCCTCGCAAAGTTTCCTGTTGTTAATACCATTAAAATTACGCTGCAATAGAATTTTCGGCTTAGCTTTTGGTGGGCGGATCTTGCATGAGAGAAAAATCAGGTCATGATAAGAGAAGGCATCAGCCGGGAGTTGACCATGTTTAGCGACATGTTGAGAAGATGAGACGATGATAAGGTCAAGAAGCGAGGGAGTGCAGTTGGGAAAATTATGGGTGGCATTCAAAGAAGGTAAGAATAAATTATTAGATTGGAGAATCGAATGAAAAGCTGCTGAACGGAAGTCATTTTTAAGAAGACAAGTGTTGAAGTCACCCATGATAATAGTATGACTGTAAGTAGGACAAAGGGACTCCAATATATTATCAAAAGAAGAAAAATAGTTTATACGAGAAGAGGGACAGTAATACACACCGAGAAGTGCTTTAGTATGGCACAGGCTAATCTCCAAGAAGAGGTGTTCACCAGCATTCTGTGGCGGTGGCTGAGGTGACATATCAACCACTGTGAATGGAATATGAGCACGGAGATATATGGCGACACCACCCCCTCCATGCGTCGTACGGTCATTCCTTATTAAGTTAAAGCCTGGCAAAGAATATGTAGAAGAGGGTAGACATGGCTTAAGCCATGACTCTGAGACAAGTATGGCATGAATGTTCTTACAGTCAAAATTTGTCAGCATATCAGAAAAATGAGCCGGAATGCTTTGAGCATTTATATGAACAACATTGAAATTTTTTGATACATCAGAGAAACAAGAACTGAGTGAGTCGGATAAAGCAGAAATACTTGCAAAACTATCATTTACGCTACTACATGCTGATAAAAAATTATCAGAAGAATTTTCATCATCAGAAAATAACATAAGTACTTAAATATGAAAATAAATATAAATAGTATTACTAAAAAATACAAGCAAAGTAAAACTAATACCGGCAAAACACCATATACCACCCGCTAGTGTTAACTAAATTAATATAATAACAAACAATTAACAATAGGGAAAAAATTAAAGGAAATAATTTTTTAACAGATATACAAATACAATGTTGGCAACAATAATACGGATGTAACTTTTACAAGTGACAGTGACATGGCTGTATGGTCTAGGATTCTATTGTAACATATATAAAAAAAAAAAAAAAAAAAATCAAAACTGACGTTTCATTTTGACATCCACAAAAACAAACTGAATACGACAAATAATTTTCAAAATATAAAAAAGAAACAAAATTATATTATTTTCAGTGACTACCCATTATTCATTAATAATTAAAATAAAGTTCAAAGAAGGTAGACTGAGGTGGATTATGCAAAAATATAAAAACAAGAAAATGAATGAATGCAAGATCGTGTACATTACTTCTTTGTGGCTGCAATCCGTCGTGTTTTGGGTGCGGTTTTCACAGAGTTGGCAGGCTCAGGGTCAATCGAATTTAACTCTTCCATGCATGTGATTCGATGCCGGGTATTGTTAAGGCCAAGCACAAGTATGACGCCATCACGAGTCCAACATCTATTGATTCCATACTTTTCACGGGCAGCCATGAAAACAGTGCGACGAGAATGCGTCAAGTATTCAGACAAGGTTATACCAGTATTCTTCAGCTTTGACTTGCTGGACCAAATCCTGTTTCGAGTACTATTCAGTTGAAATTTAGCAATGATAGGTCGAGGCTTATTGTGGTTACTGGATCGACCCAACCTGTATGAGTCCTTAATATCCCCTATTGCAAAACCATCAGCTTTTAATTTGTCTAGAACAACCCTTGATATAAGCTGAGAGGTATCTTCATTCAGTTGTTCAGGAATGCCATGAAACATTAACACCTTTCTCCGGCCATTCATTACCACTTGATCAACTGTCTTTGCAACTAAATGAATTTGAGACTGTAGTGCATTTAATGACTCCAACATGAAGGACTTGAAAGATGCAAATTCACTAGCTAGACTCGCAGTGTTGGTGGTGGTGGTGGTGCTAGGTGCATTCTGAGTCTTTTGCAATTGAGCTTCAAAATTACTCATCCTGCTATGGAAAGTCTCCATCAGCTGAGATAGTGTAAGCTGCGGTTGCTCCATTGTGCCTTATGAAGTAATGTCTTGTCTTAAGATGTCAAGTATTTGCAGGAGTAAAAGGATAATAACACTTCAGCGGGTGGTACTTAGCGTCAGTTACTATTAGCAATCATCAAAGGTGAACTATTGTATAAAAATAATTAAATATTTAATTTTAATCAAGAGGTGTTCAAAATTGTGATTGCTGATACATTATCAAAATAGTATGGTTGGATCTTACTTGTACTTTGTGTCCCTGAAGAACTAGCCTGATTACCAACAGGAACCTCTGCTACGTTTTCGGCAGGTTGGCTTATTGCATCATCCTCTGGATCGTGAGAACGCCATGGCCTCCACTGTTGTGTCTCGGCTCACGAGTAGGTCTTCAACTTCGAACGTTTCGGAGATAGGACGGCGAAAACGTTTCGGCATCGTGGACTATCCCACTTCTGAAAATTGTTGAAAACAGTAGGGTAGACTTGTATAATTAAAACCACAAACAGTATTTAACTTGTATGTATTGAAACTGCAGCCTTTAAATAATAAAATGACACTCTCAATCCTTATTTTTATCGATAATAGTCAAAAGCATTTCATGAGACACAAATCAAAAGCACAAAACAATATGTCTTTTATTCGAATTCATTCGCAAACACTAAAGAAGCAATGATAAAATAACATAATTAAACTTTATTTTAATGTAAACAGATTAAACCACTTAACACAATTATCAGTACTTCTCCTTTTTTTCTCGGCAAGCCATCTTTTTTTTAATAATATTAATTAGCAAACGAATTATGATTTTTAAGCCAAACACACTTCCGTCAATTTACACCATTATTATTTATTTTTTTTGTAATTATTAACTAGTTTTTAATATTAATAAAGTGACAACAAGTAACAACAAGATTTAAACTAATTAATTTAAATAATAATATTAATTAAATAAGAATTTTAATTTATAATCATAAAGGGTCAATTTCGCCGTCATTTTGCCGGATCTGCCTTACATCATGTTCATCAATTCGTCCATACTGACCTCTATTTGCGTCCCTGCAAATAAGAATTGTTCTGATCAATGGATGAGTTACAAAAAGTTACAAAATCGCAATTGGTGGAATGAGATGATTATGATAATAATAATAATATTGTTTTATGAGGGCAATAAAAACCCATATACCCCTTTAGATCAATTATCATCATAATGATAATTGATACAAATGTGGCTCCGATTAGATCAACAATTGCCAGCCCTCTGGTGGCAAAAATATGAACTAATCACGGTATTTTTATACAATTCCGCACCATCAATTGTTGATCAGATTCAAATGGGCCAATCAGGGGCTACCTTCTCTACTATTGATTGTAATCTTTTATGCGCTGTTGCCACTTCTCTACATAAATCGCGCGCCATCTTGCTATTAAGAAAAACGGAAAAAAAACTACACAAAAAAATAATTATTACTGAAATCTCGCAATTACAACAAATACACCTAGACTTCCCAGTGAGTAATCAAGACACTCGTTATGGGAATGACTCGCAACTTCCCTATGGGTTAACAATGATTTCAAATTAATAAGATATTTGTGTGTGTGTGTGTGTGTGTGTGTGTGCGTGTGTGTGTATGTGTGTGTATGTATGTGTGAGTAAACATTCAACATCACAACTGTTACTTAATTAGCTGTGATTGGATGACCTGCTTTACCTACATGATGTATACTACCTATTATATAGTCACCTATTTATATCATAAATATGAGTTTATTGTGACTAGATATTAAAAGGTACTAGTCGACATACTAGTGGTTAGGGCAGTCGACCGGATAGCGGAAGGTCCGAGGTTCGATTCCCGGCTGAGGCGACAAATTTTTTTCTTTGCTTAAATTTATTTATTTATTATATTTAAACAATAAGGTTGATAAAAATGTAAAAATACTTTTTATAAATATGTTATTTTTATTCTAAAAACGTTTAGTACTCGTACGTAAGCCAGCTAGTTTTCATGACAATTTCCTTCCAGACGATATTTTGTAAAAGGAATAAGAAAAATGTCTCATGACAATAAAATCATCAGATGCAGTTCCATCGCTGCTTTGAGCAGTAGCAGTCTTCCAAACATGGAAAAAAATATTTTTTGTTATTTCCTCCCAACTGAAAAAACATTCTAATGATAGTTGGTCAAATATGTAAAAGTTAAAAAAAAACAGCTGTGGTTCCGGCGCTTCAGTCTTTCCACGTATTTTGAAGGCTACTATTATGGGTGCCACTAAGGTTGCCAGGCGTCCGGATAAAGCCGGACATAGTTAGGCTTAAGTTTTGATAGCGTGTCCGGCCGAAATAAACGGTGCCTGGCTTTTTAAATCACATTCATTTCGAAAGCCACTCGAAATAAAGTACTGACACTGTTTTTACGTTTGATTTTATTAATATTTCATTTGAATTTAAGAACATTTATGGTAAACAATCAGAAAAACTTGGTTTTTACAGACAATTTATTTATATTAAGACACAAAAGCCTCGATAACATAAGCTGCTCAGCCTTTTTACCCAAATGTCCGGCCAAACAGTCTGTCCTATTATTGGCATGGCTATTAGGTTTGTCGATCTGGCAACCCTAGATGACACACACGTTACGAGAAATCGTTATGATAACACTAGTTTAAACTGCACAGATAAATCGAAACGTGTGTATGATAAAAACAATAGTTTTTCTCACATACGCGTTTTGATTTATCGGTGCAGTTTAAACTGTAGGTATTTTTATCGTAACGGTTTCTCGTAACGTTTGTGGCAGCTATAACTAATTTTACAAATTATCGCCGGGATTAATTTACGAAATTTACACCAGGCTTACAGACTACATCTAGTAAAAATACTCAGTACTGTGACGTTAATTTATAACTTACTAGCTTTCCGCCAGCGGCTTCGCCCCCGTGGTCCTGTATTATACATTAAATCCTTCTTTTTGAATCACTCTATCTATTAAAGACAAACCACATTAAAATCCGTTGTCTAGTTTTAAAGATATAAACATACATACATACAGACGCGGGAAGCGATTTTGCTTTATACTATGTAGTGTAGCGTTTAAATAAGAAGAAATACAAACTTTTTACAAGCTTTTATTTAACTTGCTATGTTATACTATATTATATGTTACAATGGAATATTATATTCCTATTGTCAAATGAATTTAAAATTTCTCATACTTAAATATGATCGAATATTACCTACCTATCAATAACATTGTTTTTTACAGTTCAAAAGACAACAAATACCTATGTCACAAGGTATTTTATTAATATGAGTAAACATCTTTCTTTATATTTCCTTATTTATACTTAACTGCCTAACTATAAGACAAATTGTAACTGGGATACAGAGAAATAAATTTTTTATTAATATTTTTTTTATTATTCAGCATGATCTGGTGGTGCACCCAGGATCTGCTCCCAAGTAGGAAATTCCTTAAAATTGATAGTACGAAGTTGAAATTTTAAATGTGAGCACAATTGTGATAGCAATGCAATATTATGTTCAGCATGATCTGGTGGTGCACCCAAGATCTGCTCCCAACGAGGGAATTCCCTAAAAATTGAAAGTACGAAGTTGAAATTTTAAATGTGAGCACAATTGTGATAGCAATGCAATATTTTGTTCAGCATGATCTGGTAGTGCACCCAGGATCTGCTCCCAACGAGGGAATTCCTTAAAAATGTATAGTACGAAGTTAAAATTTGACATGTGGGCAAAATTGTAATGGAAATGCAATATTATGTTCAGCATGATTTAGTGCTGCACCCAGGTTATGTTACGTACAAGTAGGCGAGGTATTAGTTTTAAACATTTCAATAGCAGGGGACGTTATATAGTTCGCACTATGTAAAAAAACTTAAAAAAAATAGAACCGACTTAAAACTTAAAAAAAATAAACATAAATAATACTTATCTGAACCTCCCCCTTTTTGGAAAGTCGGTTAAAAAGAATGATGCTGGATTCCATATAACAAGTATGACCACTAGCATTCTTTTTACATGAATCGACTATTCTTTAAGGGTTAGTTATATGTAAACGTAGCTTATGGCTTGATTACACTAGGCAACATTCAAAATTTCCCGGGGAAAATTCATACTGTATTCCGTAGATAATCATGCACCTATTAACAGAAAAATATTAATTTATTTCAATCACGTATAAAAAAGTCGTAAATCTCTGGAAAAAAAATAAAAGTATTTTTTGTTGCCTAGTGTTATAGGTTTAATTATATTTTTTTCTTATAGATGTTATTTACTTAGGTATTTATCTGCATCCAGGTCCTTCTAGATAGCACAGGCGCTTTCTTTATTACTGCAAGACACTTTGCTTTTCCAGGGTTAGTTTTTTGTTGAATATTGTCCTTAAAATGAGTTCTTACTGCCTTTAACTCCTCCTTTGTCCATCGAGTATGAGTTTTCTTTCGCCTTCGCGTCTGTGCTAGACTTAGGAATTCATCAGAACTTGCAGACGATTCTTCTAAAATATTCTCTGCTTTGTTGGTTCCTTTGTGACATTTCAATCTGTCGATCTTTAAATTTCTATCTTTTCCATCATTTTCTTCGTTTTCTAGATCGCTCGTGTTGGATTTCTCCTTTTCTGTCATAATTTGATATTCTACGTCGTCATTACTTTCAACATTCTGCAAAGGACTTTTCTCGGAATATATTTCCTGTTTATGTATTTTACTTTTGTGTGGATTACATTGAAACTGTCCCTTAACATTTTTTACTGTTTCATTTGCCTGAAATGCTCCATTTTGATCATGAAGTTTAGTATTGTATCGGAGATTTTTTTCTGTCTTAGTTCACATAATTTGTCTTCTACTAGATTTTCACTAATTTTAAAATTTTCTACAGGTTCATCGGTATCATCTAAACTTTTTTTTCCAGCAACGTTATATTCTAATTTTTTCTCAATTTATTCTTCTTCTAAGAAGGATTGACCAGCTTGATTTAAATTTATTTTTTGTTTTGTCAGTTTTATCAAATAATTTACTTGTGTCGGTCTATCAGTTTCATTTAATTGTAATTCAGTGAGAGTAATGGTATTTTCAGAGTTATCTGGTCTTTTTTCTAACTCTAAAGATTTCGAAGTTACAGTTTCCGGTTTTTTATTTAAAGATTTCTCTGAACCCTTTTCCAAATCCAATTCTATAGTCTGCCTATTTTTCTTTTTTTCAAATTCCATTACAGTTGAGCCAATTATTGCCTTTGGATCACTTGTAAAGGTAATCTGTAGTTACTTGAGTGAACTGCTAGATCATGCCCCAAAAATCCCGCCAAATGTTCAGTATATTAATCATTTTTCTTTGCATACAATTGAGACATCGTTGCTACGCAGTGTTTTATGAGACCTAGAAATCGGACATGTACCTGTTTTTTCCATTATTGTATAGAGTTTCATATCACAAATGCACCTGTAATAGTTTCACGCGCCGATCTTATATAGTTTAGGAGAAAAAAAATATTGAAAATTGGCAATTTTTTGCACCTGAAAATTAAAAAAAATATATTGCAAGAAAACCGTACGCGTTTGAAATGCACTGATGTTACACCTAGAAAGATCTCAAAAATTAGCTTTATCAGAAACCATTTTGAGCTTTCCAAAGTGTACTGTTGCAAAGATATTAATTTTTTTCGATTTTATTTCAACATTTTTTTCCCGCCGTTTTCTAAAGAATCCGGATCCAATTTTTAGTTTAATCCATAGCATAAGACTCTATCTATGCGCTAAAAAAAAACTGCGTCCGTATCTCGTGGAAATTCTATGTAATACGCATTTTAAAAAAATACCGTTAAAAATGACGTTAGGGTTGTCACTGAACCGAAAAAAATATTTTTCCGGTACTAGGTGAAAAAATTTCCTCGTCACAAAATATTAACTTAGAGTTGATTTTAATTTGATTTTGTTGATTAATATTATTTGTTTATATATAAAATACGTTACATAACTAAATAATAAATAAGTAATATAAGTATATGGATACAAAATAAGTTGAGGAAGCCCCTTTGCCTCAAGCTGTTTTAGAACTGCTAAAACCTATAACTTTAAATAATATAATAAAAAATAAATATTATAATTGTGTGTGTGTGTGTGTGTATGTTTGTGCGTGTGTGTGTGAGTGCGTGTGTGTATGTGAGCGTGTATTATTCTTTATTATTTAAGCAAACTATGTTCATTTCACTGTCTTCTAATATTTCTTCCTGTTGATCTGTCTCTGTTCCGGTATCTTTTGTAGGTTTTATATTTATAGGTTTTAACAGTTCTAAAACAGCTTGAGGTAAGGGGAGCTTTCTCAACTTATTTTGTCTTCTTCGTAATCTGATGGCAGAAATTAGAGGATCTGAAGATTCCAAGGCACGGTGAAAAAGGTCAAGCATGGTTATTTTCCTGCAATTTTTTCTTGTATGATGCTCTCTATCGTGCTTCCAGAATTTATTCCTGGCTTCCGCGGCTTGCTCAGAAAGCATACCGACGGGTATTGTTGTGGATTCTACTTATGTCCTTTCCATGTACCAGTATTTTGTGAATCGTTACAGTCATTGGGTGCCACGGCTATGTAAAATACCGAACTTTTCGGAATCAATAGGTAAACCACACGACAATACTATTAGAATTGTATGAAGGTCATCTAGCAACCACTTTTCTATGTTTATGATTTCCGAAAACGTTTGTCTGTATTTGTAAGATAATAGGGTTCTCGCAGCATTTTCGTCATTAGTTGTGCCGCTATTTGGTTTGACGACATCAACTAATACACCTATTTGTTTTCTTATTTGGGTCTGGACATATTTTTTCGTTGTTCTAATAATTGATATTCTGGAGATGTCTGAGGGATTCTCCACGTTTTGACTTTGGATTTATAGCCCAGCTTCAAAAGAAACTCTAAAACCCTGATCCAGGCATGAAGAGGGCTTATACCATGCATCAGTGCTTCTTTTCTGGGTATTTTTTCATAACAGACCTCTAATTTGTTAAATTGAGTAGATGTTATTCCACAGAAAGGACAACGCAGCTGAGATGGAGTGTCTAGAATAATATTGAGCACCTTCCCATCAATAACAGTCAAATACAATACACATTCAGCGTGTATCGTGTAGCCTTTAGATGTTTTTGCTGATAACGGTTTAAGTTGAGTAATTTGGTCTTCTACAATTTTTTTTTTCAGATTTGATTAGTTCAGTTGTTTCTTTTTTATATTGTATTCTGAGAGGCCGACAAGAGCGATATGACTGGGGTGTAGGGTTTAACCAAAGTTCATGACTGTCTTTTGTTGAAATTTTTAAAGGAATAAAAGTAGTAGCAAAGAGACTGTTCTCATTACCTAACTCGTCATCGTCATCACCAAGATTTTGTTTGTACAAAGCTTGCCCCGAGCTACCATCATAGCCCCCAAGAGCCCTCAAAAATGCAATACAGTTCTTGTGTTGCATTCTGTTCACAAAATTGTGATACATTTGCGTCACAAGATTCTACAATGCGTTCAAACGTATGCTGTAAAAGTCCTTGCAGAGTAACGCTGGCTTCAATTTCAGTGACTTGTACTTCCTCTAGAGGGTGGGTAGCAAGATTTTTTTATTTCTAAAACTTTGTGGTAAGGTGGAAATACTGAACAATTCCTTTCTTTTAAATCTGTTTGTAAAAACTTATAAGTGTCGACTGTTAATTTTTTGTCTATAATTACAGCCAAAGCTTCTTGTGGTGAATAGGGCTGAGGTGAAGGTTGCCGAATCTTGTTCGCAATGGTAGTTGATCCTGATTGCAAGCACTGATCAATTACGAATTCGAAGTCCTTCGCAACTTTAGGCGACATTTTTGTACTTTCATCGGAGCCACACATTGATTGTACAAATGCCTTGATTTTTTTTTGCCTTAGGCTCTTCAGCCAAATTAGCTTCGAGTTTTCGCCGACAACGCAATTGCTGCCGTGTACTTAGATTAATGAATTGAACTGACTTTGGTGATAGTTCAGTATCTTTAAGCTTGCCTTGTAAAAAGACTATATTAAGCCAATCCTTACTTTTTTTGTCGTTTTCAAACAAATTCATTTTGTAGTGATTTTTCTTATAAATGGCATCGCATTTAGTAATAAGCAGAGCAATAGCTCGTGTTAGCTCTTTATTTGACATTGACGGTTCATATCCTTCACCAAGGGCTTTTAAAACAGCTGCACATCGATCGGGTACCGGTAAATCCAAAGGTCGCCATTTACTATTAATTTGTTTGCTTTCCTTAATTAGGAGTTTGTAAACTTCTAGTCGAGTTAGTGTTACTGATGTGTCCGATCTTCCGCCTTCACCACCGTTGTCCTGCTGAGAGGATCTTCCACTGGTTCCACCGTTGTCATCCAGTTCTCTTCGCGTATTTGCGAACACTGAAGACTGAAGAAAAGCGTGAAATAATACCTCCATTTGTTGTTTAAACGCCTTTTATTTCCGTTTAACCTGCATAAATAAGAATAAATAATAATATTGGTCAACATTGTATACATTGATCCGATCCTATGGTAAGTAACTAATGCAACCTGTATTACGGTATTCGGAAACAATAGTAGTACCACAACACCTAGACCTGAGACAATATCAAAAAGTTCGCTTTCTATATTGACCCGACCGAGAATCGAAACCAGGACCTCAGAGAAAGCGTCACCTTAAAAGCCGGCGCGTACGCATCTCGACCGCGGAGGTCGTCAATAAGGTAGGAGGTATATAAGAAAGGGCGAGACTACGATTCGTAGCGGTTTAACTTCGTTAAACACTAAGTGAGAATAATTATTGATTATTTTAAATACCGGTAAAAGGTGGCAACCCTGACAAAAAATGTCAATCAATAATTTTCTCCGAATTTCCATGAGATACGGATGCAATTTTTTTTTACACATAGGTAGTGTCTTATGCTATGGATTAAACTAAAAATTGGATCCGGATTTTTTAGAAAACGGCGGGAAAAAATTTTGAAATAAAATCGAAATAAAATTGATATCTTTGCAACAGTACAGTTTAGAAAGCTCAAAATGGTTTCTGATATAGCTAATTTTTGAGATCTTTTTAGGTGTAACATCATTGCATTTAAAACGCGTACAGTTTTCTTGCAATATATTTTCTTAATTTTCCGGTACTAAAAAATTGCCAATTTTCAATATTTCTTTTCTCCTAAACTAAATAAGATTGGCACGTGAAACTCTTACAGATGCATTTGTGATATGAAACTCTATACAATAATGGAAAAAACAGGTACGTGTCCGATTTTAGGGTCTCATAAAACACTGTGCTACGTGGTGCCGTACACCGGTAGATGTGAGCATTTGAGGATTTTTTAATTTGCACATACTTTTTATTTTGTTAAGACATTTTCCACCATCAAATGGACGAGAGGTTAGTGGTCTACCAAAAAGTAATGGATTATTATCAAGAATTCCAACTGATTTCCGATTGGCAACAATAAGATCTATATTTCTTCGCATCTGTTTTGCTAGCAGTACAGGTACTGACCGAGACCTCTTTCCATGGATCATAAAGACATCTAACTGATCAATTGCTTCCTTTTGTTCTTGTGACAGCAGCTCAAGAACTTTGGAAGGTGTTTCTTCATCCATTCTGTTTAGATAAAAACAAAGTTCAGTTTCAGCTACATCTCCAGCCCTTTTTTTATCCATGACTATTATATGTGCAATTGTGACTTCACATAAATTTTCATAATTCAAAACAGTGACATTATTTTTTAGGTACTTTGAATATTTCTTTTCGAGTTCGTGGATTTATTCTGTTATTAATCGTATATCTTCATCAGGCATCATCGTTTCTTTTGTCATCAAATTCCGTTTACCTTCCGTATAAATTTCCCATTCCCAATTTATTTGGATTAATAATTTAAATTCGTCCAGTTGTCTTTTTAAAATCTCTTTATAAGCTTGACTTCCATGTCCCATTATCATTTCGGTGTACAACACTTCAATGCAGCCTAGTACGCTCGGACTCAGCCTAGATGGTTTGCTAATGGTTCGAACGAATCCAGTCTCCTCATTGAAGCCACACATCTTTTTAACACAATTCATAAAAGTCGTGTAATGTTGCGGTTTGAATAGATGACTAAGTTCTTGTATAGAAGGATCTTCAGTTTTTAAATGTAATAATTAGAGGTGTTCGCAACGGCTAAATATTGATAACGTTTTATAACGATACGTTATTTTTAAAACACCTATTATTTTTTACGCTATAATATATTAGTTGATATAAATCACTTTGCTGGAACTACAACGACGCATTTTGTCGTTTGATTATTTATTATCGTCGTGAAACACGCCGTTCCCTGTTACACATTAAATAATTGGTTGGGTGTAATGGATATTTATACTTAACAATGACAACACATTACTGCTGTGAGCGTTTTATTTACATAAAACAAATTTAAGGATATAAATTCATTGAACTTTCCTTCGTACTTTTAACAGGCTTAGGACTGTCTGACAGAAAATTATGACTTGAAATATATTGAATATATATTATTTAAGCAATATATATTTGCCAGTTTACTTACTCCACTCAGTACATTGTCAGGCGTACTTAAAAGTTCATTGATTTTATATACAATAGGTATTTACAAGTTATTTACAAATAGAATTTTATATACTTACAATACGTATTTACAAGTTATTTACATTGTTTTTATTTACACATAGATTTTTTTAACTAAGTACATAAATACAATACACTCGTATGGTGCAATATATACACAATATTCACAAAATGGTTATATTAAAAGTTTTTATTGCCATGGAGGAACATTAATTGAGCTACTTTGCTCGACGTAAGCCTCGTACGTCGGTCATTAATTATATGTCCTGCCTTAGAAAAAGCTCGTTCACAGGGCACTGATGTAACAATTATATTAAAATATTTTACAAATATGGAATACAAATACGGATATATCGATTTGTGCCCACGCCACCACTCAAGAGGACAACTTTCCCTGGATATGACGAACTGTTTTTGGTACATCTCCACTTCTTCTGTTACTTTAGTAAAAGTGGAGCGAGGTTGTTGAGATGTTGATATTTTTTGCTCTATTATATTCCATAGAGAAAGTGCAGGAGTACTGCTTTCTGGATGGTGTTGAGGTTCATCTTCGCTAATAATACTACAAATCTCATCTATAATGTACGTTTTAGTAGATTGCAATGTTTCATTGTCTAACGCGAAATGTTTAAATCTAGGGTCTAGAAACGTACACACAGTAATATGTAAGTTCCTAGTTATATTTGCAAATCTGTGTTTTATTCCTAAATTTATTGTCTTGGCTAATTTTTGGACGGGTGTATAATATGTAATATTTGTAGCCATTTGTTCGTAAATATTAAGTAAACCCTGCGTAATAACAATTGCTTTACTAGCAGTCAAATAATTTTCTGCACTCATAATTAACGTAGCTTCATAAAGAGGCTTTAGAATTTCACAAAATTGTTCTAAGCATTTCCACTCTTGGAGTGGTATTATAGGCAAATCTACATTTAAATTAGGCACTGTTGCCCTGATGGCTTCCTGTAAATGTATGAAGCGCTGCAACATTAAAAATGTTGAGTTCCAACGTGTTGGCACTGACATAATTAATGTCAATGCACTTCCTTCAGCTACACCCTGGGAGTTAATCTGATACTTTAACAGCTTCTCTTTTGCTAGAGAGCTACGCTTAAAATGGTTTACTGTTTTTTTTATTTTAGTTATAGTGCTTTCCACTTCGGGAAGTGCAAGGGCATTTTGCGCTACCAAATTTAGCGTGTGGGCGTAACATCCGTAATGGGGAAATCGTAACAAATTTGCAGCACTTTGCATGTTGGATGCGTTGTCGGTGACAAAAAAAATAATTTTACCCACCAGATTCCACTCCTGTACCGCCAAACTAATTGCTTGCGCAATATTTTCACCCGTGTGAGTTCCCTCTAGTAGACTGCACTGTAAAAGCATAGATTTAAATTCTAAGCTGGTTTTATTTATAAAATGGCCAGTGATAGCTATGTACGGCTGCATCGTCCGAGATGTCCAACAGTCTACCGTTATACACATGCTGGTACATTCTTTATTTACAACCGATTTAATTGTTGCTAAACGGTCTTCGTAGTCACGCAACAACAGGGTCGTCGACAGGGTTTTACGATCGGGTAACTTATAATTGGGGTTTAACCCATAAACAAATGATTTAAAGCCCTCATCATCAACGATACTAAAAGGCTGGCAATCAATGGCTATCATATTTAATAATAATTTATCCAGGTTGGTCTTCTCAGTGGTTGATAGGGGTCTAGATAAATACGATGCCATGATCCGTTGCTTTTTTGGCGGATTTTGTGCTGAGGGACCTGGACGAGACGACGATAATAAACCCCCATCATTACACGGACGAGACTCGATCCCACGACTATTACCACCAGCAATACCATCACCATCAGCAATACCATCACCACCAGCAATACCATCACCACCACCACCGATTCCACCACCACCAGCACAACCAGGATCCACACCAGCAAGAGCACCGGAGTCAGCAATTCTAGTACCTAAGTACAAAAAATAAAGTTTAACAGAAGAAATAAATATGAAAAATGTATATTTTTAAATAGGTACCTATTGGAAGCAAATTCGAATGATTTATTATTTAACTTACCGTTCTCATTTTCTTTCCTGCAAATTTCTTCATAAACTATTAAATGCTTTTGTTTCAAATGGTTTTTTAAATTAGAAATAGTAGTTTTAAACGACAGAGTCTTTTTACAATAGGAACATTCCGCCTTTTTGGCAAGTTCGTCCACCACAGAAAAATAATTCCACATTTGTCCTTTTCGTGGCATTATAAAATATTTACACAACAACTAAGTATCTAACAAATTTTTTACACGAAATATAATACACACACTAAACTAAAACGAACTTTTACGAGTATTTGCAATTATAAATCAATAAACGCATAACACACAAACTACGTCAAGCGAGTAATCTGCACTGACCGTTTTTTATTCAAAAACCTAAAAAATAATCGTAAACGATCAAAAATCAAAATTCAAAATATATTAGTTGCACTTTTTTCAATACTGGAATTTTATGAATATAGTTCTTATGTGGTCACCTTAGAGCATAATTTCTAACGAGTATTATACGACGAAAAATAATCGTTATTTATTCATTCCTGGACATTAATTTGAATATAGATCTTAATAAGTGGTCTTAAAGCATAATTTGGCAGGTGACAAAAATATTCAATCACAGCAAAGTGAAGTTGGCCTTACGTTTCGTTTCGCGCAGTGTGCAAACGCTCGATTGTGTTCATAATTTCAAAATAATCGTTTGATTTAAATAACGCTTGCCAGCAGTAATAAATAATAGGCTATATGATTATTTATAAATATTAGATTATTTTATCAGCGATCTAATATAACGAACATCTCTAGTAATAATAAGTTGCCAAGATCACGTAGTTTAGAACATATGGCTTTTCTACTACGCGCTTCTTTCTACTTTTTCATTAATCGTGAGCCATATGCCATAATTAGTGGGTCTGTTTTAACTAACGTGGAAATCTTTTCATGCCGCGAACGTGGCAAAATATGATCTTTAATTTGCTGAGATGCTTCTGACAAATGGGGAATTATTCTGATGGAATGATTTGTTAGTACTCGTTTTTTGTAAGAATTTGGCAACTTTTCTATATTTAAGAGATCTGAGCCGCAACTTTTAAAATGTTTATAAAAATATTTAAAGCAAAAGGGCTAGATAATGGATAATTTCCCTTCTTTGGTATTAAGTTACCTTCTGTTTCAAAAATAACTGTAGAATTATGTAAGAAATTTCCTCTATTACGAACTACGAAGATCATCAGTGATTTCTTGTCGTCTCCGTTTACGCACTTTAAGATCGGGATCATTAATTGACATATACTGTAATACTTCCGATTCATTTTTGTGATGTTTTAAAAAACGCGTGAAATTAGTGACCAGATTTTCGCAAAAAATACATGCATTTCTTCGCACCCACTTCCGTTTCTTCTTTAGGCCCTTCAGCTCTTGTTGTTCAGGTTGCTTGTTTTGCAATTCTGAACTTGACTCTTAATCATATAATATATATACATAATTCTTCTTAGACTGAGATATAATCGACCTCAGTCTAAGAAGAAAAAAAAAGAACAAATTATGTATAAACCCTAAATTGCAAATTATCGAAAATCATAAAACCTATGTTTATTGACAAGTAAAGTAATCGCGCAAAGCGAATCTAGCGCTGTGGTGGCGGAGAAACATACTAAATTAATGTTACGGCGGCTTTTAAGTCAGCCTTCGTAAAACATATGTAAACGATAGGTAAGTAGGTAGTAGTGTAAGTGTAAATAATAGAAAATAACGAGTTACTAACATTATACAACTCTTGAATGATATGTTCGTTTCTCATTGCGGTACGATCCTTTTTTTTTTCCATTTTTTTGTACACTTTAATTTTGATTTTGAGAAATTATCTTCTTCTGATATCTAAAATAGAATCAACAGTATCACCATTCTATTAGAAATCAACAACTGCTGTCATATGTGCGGTATTGTAATGCCACAGTTGAGATGAAACTAACAATCAAAACCTCAACTTTCATTGAAACTACCACTAGACAATTTTCACAAAAAGGCGATATATTCACATATTTTGTTATATTGATAATATTTTAATATTTACCAATAATTACCTGATTATTAGTCTCACTTAGGTTAAGAAAAGATGATTCTTAAGAGTAAATGTCCGGAGAAGAACCGTGTTTATCTAAAAGTGATTTTTTGCAAAATCTTTTGTTATCTGGATGATTTCGAATCTGCAAATAAAAAATCTTTTACACATTTAGAAAAATAGAGTGAGTATTTGTCTAAATTATATTAAAAATTACATCTGTTAGTGAAACAACGCCAATTGAGCTATCACTGGGTTGATAAAATGAATCTGGATCATAACCAGAGCCATCACTGGGAGAAAAATCTTGGTTATCAGTCTCAGAATTGCAACATATGACAGTAGTTAACTGACCCCTTTCTGCACTGCTTATGACGCCGACTTGTTTTTTTACTTTAATAGACAGGACCTTCGGTGGTTTAGCTGTGCTGCTCTCTATGCCGGTCTCGTCCATATTATAAATGGTAGTTGCATCAAGGTTGTATTTTTCTACCAGATCCCAATAATTTGTATAAAAAAACTCAACTTGTGGTTTGTTGAAACCTCTTGTTCTTGCCAGAGATGTTAGCTCCGGTGATCTAAGTACAATTTCTGGGTCTGGTTCTGGTCGACTCTTGAAACCAGAAAACCAGTCATCACCTGCTTTACCATTTTTGAATGAATGAGCGATATTCTTTTTCGTTGCGTATTGATACACCAGTTTTAGGAAATCTGCACGAGTTAGGCCAAAAAACAGGCTGTCTAATTTTTTCAAGTACGCGCTTAGCTCTTTTTCTTGCTCCGGCGAAAAAACCGTTGTAAATTTACCCAGTTTCTTTGCCGTGTTTCCTGACTTTAAGTGTCGATGCAAAGTTGTAAATGGAATTCCGAATTCAGTAGCGGTAGATTTAATAGATTTCCCTGCTTCTTTTACCGCTTTTATTGCTTTCTCAAGTGATTGTTTTGACCATGCTCCTCGATCACTTTTGCGTTTGTATTTATATACCATCTACAACGAAATAATCCTGTATTTAATCTAATACTAATAATGAAACTAATTACTCACATACTACTACTATACCTATATGCTAATGGACTTAAATAAATGTGTTTAATTTCGAGAAAAAAATACTATCGAACTATCCGGGATAGCTATCCGTTTTGCCCATATCCGTCTTGCCCAGAGCACTCATATTCAAACTTTGTATTAGCCTACTGTAAAATTTCTAACGACGAATGAAAAGTTACAAACACAAATTAAACTTCAAAAAACACGCAATCGCTCAAACAGAGTCTTTTCGTTAACACTTAATACATAATACAAAAAAATCGAGATCGAGTATTCGTCTTATCCACACTATGGATCTTGCCCGGGTTTCCCCTAAATGTCGGTCAAGTGATCGGTTCCCTGAAGGAATGGATGAAAATCCTCACACACGTCACATAGGTTACAGGCACAAGAACTTTAATTAGCGGTTGCCTATTACCGCATATTAAAATTATAAAAAGTTTTTTAAAAATGACTTGCTCAATTATTAAGTTATGATTATGGTATTATTAAAATTTAACTATTTAACATTTGTCTTGTGATAGCAATGACGATCGTGGCTTTTTTGAAAGACATTGAGTGAATGATATCATTAATTATGAATTCAGGAATTGTCTAAGCTAAATGACAAACTCAAATATCTTTAAAATCATTGTAAAATTTCAAACGAAAGCGTTTGAAATTTCTCAATATCAAATATCATTAAAACATAATTTGTTCCAAAGCTATTGCGACTTTAAAAGTTATATAATCTCTATCATAATAAGGGTAGCAGATCTCATTTAAAATAAATATCTAAATCTATCCATCTAATTCGAAGCTACCCATACACACCTTAGCGCTTATACAGATAAGTGACAGTATGTCGGTAATGGTTGGCGAAAACTGGCAAAAAAGATCATTGACAGTCGGCTATGATTGGCAGTGTCGCGACGGTCAACGACGGCTGTCAACAGACGCATGCGTCGCGCGTCACTTGTCGCCGACACACTTCCCTCTTTTTAACCGACTTCTCAGTTTAACCTGTATGTATGTAGGTATGTATGTTTGTATACGATTATCTGGCGTTTGGCTGAACCGATTTTGACGCGGTTTTCAGAAAAGTATGTGTTAGAAGATTTTAGTATCTTAACCCTTAACCAACTACCAGCGGTCTCAGAGACCGCAACGATTTTAGAAATTCAAATATTATCACGTGCGATTGGCGTGCGTTACAGCGCGTTTATGTACCTTTTCTACACACCAATCAGTATTAGTGATGTGCCAACTCGGAAAAAACAAAACTCGATTTAACCCGAGTTAAAATCCACATAAATCGAGTTGAACTCGAATTACGTAACTCGAGTAAACTGGATGGACAAGTGAGTAAATGCTTGTTTTGATTTTTTACCAGTTTATTCCTTCAGCTTCGCTTTAATAGTTAAAAAAATTGAAACAGCCAAATGATATTTTTATCTGATTCAATTCTTACATTTTTTATATATATATTGGGAGAGATTCAATTCTATTCTTACATTTTTATCTGATTCAATTCTTACATTTTTTATATATTTATAATCTATTGAGGGAGTTATACTAACTAAAGTAAGAAAGAAAATTATTGTTTGAAATTGAATCATTTATTAATGTATTTATGGCTTGAATTTAAAAAAAAAAATTTTTTTAATAATATCAGACTAACATCATGATGCAGGTATGTACATAGGTACATTTACAGGCTCATAATTGTTTTATAATCACAATATTTTCAAGAAAATTAGTTAATTAGTATCACAAAGAATATATTCTCCTTAGTTAAATTATATACTTACTGTTCCTATACAGGAAAATGACAAATAATACTAAAAACAAAAATATTTTCCAATTAATAACAATTAGTTATTGAAAAAAAAATATAAAAATCTTATGTAAAAAACAAAAATAAACTTCTTTTAAGTTTTAACAAAAATTATATTATTTTCTTTTTGAAATTAAAGTTAAATAAAACATAAAATAACAAAATATTGTTAAAGTACTTATTAAAAAACAAAAATAAAAAATTTATAATATAATTTATGGAATACTATTGAGAAACAAGATTTGGTCAACCTTTTTTGGTGCTAGGCGGTTTCTTCTATCATTGCACAAAATCCCAGCTTTTGAAAATAAACGTTCTGAAGGGACTGATGATGCTGGTATACAAATTTATTTTTCGCAATTTTGGATAACCGCAGAAATAAACATTTCTTGTCATTCCAAAACTGAAGTGGATCGCATTTTCTGTCTTCGGTTTAGGAACTCGAGTTAGAGAGAATTTAACTCGAGTGGGTTCGAGTTACGCCGAACTCGAGTTAACTCGAGTTAGTTACTCGAGTTGACCATCACTAATCAGTATTACGCCAGCGTCCGGCGAGTGCGTACTTGCGCGCGTTTGGCCAGGGTAAGTAATAATATTTCTCTCGCGGTCTCCGTGACCGCACATAGGTGGTTATGTAACTGTTTGTCTTTATTTATTTTTTACTTTTTTAGTCTCAAAATGAACAAAAATGATTAAAATATCGAAAGATGACTCCAGCAAGAGATCTCGGATGAAGAAGATACTTCTGGCGAAGATTGCAGCGACGTCGAACCTGATATTACCGACGATCTAGTGCAAATTGAAGAGTGTGAACCGGAGTCTGAAATTGAGGGTGACAACGATCTAAATGGCTTGCCGGAACCAACAGCCTCTTCAAAGTTACAATCTGAAGAGGCTGTTGGTTCCGGCAAGCCATTCGGAGGATGGTAATACTCCGCTTTCGTGCTTGCAGTCTCTACCTCTAGACTCTAGCCAAGAAAGAAAAAATATTTTGGCAGTAATCGTTTTCGCAGGTCATCCTTGCCGCGTGTCACTCGTTCAAAGACACCCCAGTTTAATATTATACAGTAACCAAGCTCAGAAGACTCAATTTAAATTTTTGAAAAAGTTGGCTGAACAGCTTACCAAACCGCATATGGTAGGGAAAACAATGACCGCGTTCCGAGGGACATCAAGACAGTATTCGACGTGTTTTGCAGATAAAAGGAACTTTACCAAGCACTTCTAATGCCAAAAAACTTGAAGTTCGTAAAACATGTTTCACGTGTGATCCAAAAAATAAACACAAAACAGTATACCTAGGTTTCGTATGTAAAGTATCGATTTGTTTGGAGTGCTCGAAAAAAATACGTTGTTGCTGCCGCGCAAAATTGTGAAAGTTGGGGCATTGTAATTTTGTTTAGTTTTTTTATTTTTGTTTAATTTTATTTTATTCAAATTATTAGAAACAAGGAAAAGAAGTGAAAAAATTATGTTCCTAATGATACAGATCTCATTTTGTTACCTCTGTTGTTTTTGATGCTATAATTATTATTTCATAAGTATTCATTAATTTTTGAAGATTTTTCTTTAACTGTTGCTAATTTGTGGTGCAAAAATAAAGCAATTGAGTACATACATGCATTTTATTCAACCCAACTGTAATTTTTATTATAGGTTTCAAAATAATCGCAATTATCTAGCAGAGGTCTCCGTGACCGCACGTAGGTGGTTCAAGGACAAAAATGGGTGCTAGGTGGTTGAGGGTTAACCGACCTTAAAAATGGAGGTTCTTCTATCAAACGACTTTATAACGACGAAATTATTAAGATGATATAGCTATTCTTTATTCAGTCCTATTCCGTTTGAATTCCGTAAGAAGAAATTTCTATGTTGAACAAAAAATTCAGTATCACTAAAAATTATGAATAAATATTTTTTTTTCAAAAAATAGAACCTACTTAAAGAAAAATTAAAATAATACTTATAAGTTATAATTATTCAATGAAGAAACTGCTATTGAAGTCGGGCGGAAGTAACCTGTAGGTTAGAAATTAATTGATAACAGCCCAATTTCAATAGCAGTTTCTTGATTGAAAAATTAAGTCTCTGTTATAAGTATTATTTTTCATTTTTTTTTTAAGTCGGTTCTATTTTTTATAAACACAGCAAATATTTTTTTAACTCTCCTCTTCAGGGCATAAGTATCTATTTAAACTTAACCTACCTGCGTTTCGACATCCACCTTAACTGGATATCATATATCCAGTTATGAACGCTCGCATCTGGAAAAATAACCTATAAGTTCAAAGTGAGGTCTATTTAAGAGTGCTAGCTAAGTAGCCAAGACATGATATTCGTCCCTTCTCTTTCTAATGAAGCAAAGGTGCGTGCAGCAAAAGAGATGAAGCGAATATCATATCCACATTACCAGTTTTGATATATTGAAAAGTAGTCAACAACCATTCCTTGATATCGATATCTGAACAGTTTTCAATACCGATATCAAAACTTGATATTCGAATAAGCAACGGTTGTGGGTTCCCACAAAAACCAACCAATTATCTGTGGTTTGCAGTGAACCGCGTCACATGCACCGAATATTAAGAAAAAAATAATGAGATGTCACTATTTGGGCAGAAACTTTTAGCCAGTAAAATTAGTATCATAAGTATAGTAGTTAGCAAAATTAGTAAGGCACTTTCAAGAAGGATTTCACTGTTGTCTAAAAATGTATGGAAGAATATCAAATAGGAAGTTTTGCTTTTATTCATAAAAAATAAGTAGGTAGGTATATTGTTTTAGCACCACCAATCTTCATTGGGACATGACAGAAGAAGCCTGGATTAACTGGTACCCTGGGGATAAAAGTATTAGGCAAAGGCGAGCCATCATTACGCTGCGCAAGCGAAACCGTTGGCGAAAAGCTAGCTTCAATTATTATAAACCAAATTATTTTAGATTACTTTCTTTAAACTGTAACCATGATTGAAAACGTATTATTGAAGCCGTAGCTGAGTTCTCTCGGTTTCAAGATGTTCCCATCTCTGAGGTTCCGAGTTCGATTCCCAGTTGAGTCAATGTAGAAAATGAACTTTGGTGTTCCCATCTCTGAGGTCCCGAGTTCGATTCCCAGTCAATTTAGAAAATGAACTTTGGTGTTCCCATCTCTGAGGGCCCAAGTTTGATTCCCAGTCAATGTAGAAAATGAACTTTGGTGTTCCCATCTCTGAGGTCCCGAGTTCGATTTCCAGTCGAGTCAATGTAGAAAATGAACTTTTCTATGTTGTCTCAGTTCGTATACAATATCGAATCTAAACAATGTATGATGTCTAATATTTATTTATTTGTTATAATTTATTTTTTAAAGGTGTTATATATTAATTCGACATTTGTAGCTATTTACCTAAAATATTTCCATCTATATTATACCTAGTATTGTAAATAGCTAGCTAGCGTCTTATTAAGGTTTTTATTATTTTGTTGGCAAGTTTACACTAGTTCGCCACCTAAGAGCCCCTTTGATATGCCCGCCACTCGTCACTAATCTAATAAGATTCTTTATTGATAATTGACGATTTATTGTCATACACATTTTTTCGACTTTTATGAAATAAGTTTATCTGAATTCGAAAACCAAATGCAAAAACGGTTTCCTTGATTAATTTTCTTTCAACAATAGTACCTAATGGTTTTAATAGACTTTTGTTGTGTTTTCATCTAATTAGATGTCGAGAGAAAAAACGGTCCGCGCGCTTTTGAGACTGACGTCACTTTGGAGGAACAATTTGTCGAAAATACGTATTTTATTTTGTCGAAAATAAAACACATTTTCAGAAGTATATAGCAAAACAAACATTCCAAACACATTATAACAATTCACTAAAGTTTTAGTAAAAAAAACACACAATAGTTCGTTTTCCCGGCACTCTCACTGCACTGTACGACGCGTGTACCGAGCGAGTTCGCGGTACTGGCCACGTTTACTTTTACTGGAGGAACTCCCCGTATTTCAAATAAAATAATTTATAAACAAACTTGTTTAATCTATGAATTGAAATAGATAGATAATTTATCACACTATCGGGAGAATAAATATTATTCATAAATGGAATGTATCTTAGTACTAATAAGGCTATAAGGCTGGTTCAAGAGCCATATGAGAATCGTGAGAATGAAACGTCGCATGGGTAATCTATATGAGTATCAGGGGACTTGAATGAAAGGAAGTGAAGTGAACTCTACGATTTTGGGGGCTACCCATACGTGGAAGGGTGTAGTGTACACTTAAATATTACATTGAATGTCTCTCCCTAACTTTAATAAGGGATTGAAAAATAAAAATAAATTATTTTATTTATATATTATATGTAAGTTATTATTTTTCAAATACAAAATACGTTTCAAAAAGAATTTCTAATAAATACACTTTTGTAAAAGATATTTAAATACAAAATACCATTTCGTATTTGAAATACAAGTAGATAGGGTAGACATACCGGCTATCGACCGTTCAGGCGGCTTGTTGACTTTAGAGTTGATTTCTGACATAAAGTTGTAATCCGAGAATTTTCAAAAAAATGTTATGTCATCCTTCAATACTCTAGTTTCATAATATCTAACGTTTTCAAGTGAATCTGTGATACATAATTAAAAAATAAATAATTTTCCTAAAAATAGCAAATACACCGGCTATCGGCCTTCCCGCTCAGTTATCGTCCATTAGTGCACTGGTTATCGGCAGTCTCATTCTCTGTTGAGAAATGACTCTTATGAAATAATACATAAGGTATTTCTTATGAAATAATATTTATTAATTTGAAAGTAATACAAAAATAGTCAAAAACAGCATAATTATAATATTTATAGTTTTCATAATTAATATTGAAAAATAATTAATCAACAAAAAAATTTATTAGTCAGTATTGTAATTTTTCAAAACGTCTTTCCTTACATTTTGACATATTGAACATTCATATGGTACAATTGCTGCTTGACTGTATGATAAATTTTTTAGTTTGGTACATTTTAAATGATACCAGCGAATGCATTTATCACGCCCAATATTCATTTCGCCCTCTTCTTCGGTATCACTTATGAGGTCAAAATCACAAAAACCACATTTAATTTGGCCTTTGGTTTCTTCTGCTTTCTCTTTCTTCATCCTCTTCTTTTGTGGTTGTACTTTTTTCTTTAGCTCTCTTTCAAGCTTTCTTTTCTTGATTTGGTTTTCTTTGTCTTTTTTCGCTTTTTCTTTTTTTTCGAAGTATTGTTGCCAAGCTTTAGATGTGATAGCACTCGGAAATGGGCTCGATGTACGAGTGCCTTGGGTTTTAGTGATAACATCGGGAAATTTCAGGTGTTTTTTAAATAAATCCTCATCTACTAGAACCTCTGGTGTTTCCGGAGCTGGTGTTATTAATATGTTTTCCATATGCGTCAGGGAGCCGTCTTCAAAATTAATAATGACATCGTTATTAGCTTGACTCATTTGTGATAAATGAATGTCACTTAATGGTGCTATTGCGATGTCATCGAGAGATATGTAGGACCCAATCTCTGGAATCTGGATAGAACTAAGATTGTTTTCTGTTGAGGATATAACCTCAACAAAAGACGATCCTAAGGTTTTTGGCCTGGCACTTCTTGAGAGCTTGTCAGAAGGATTTTTCAATTCAAAAGATTCTGGGTATCTGGGTGTTGAAGTAGATGGATAACCTCTAGAGCCTTGGGGTACCATCGTCATATCACAGGACTTATCTTCGAAAGATTTTGTGTCTTCCTTTATTAAACTGGATTGTGAAGTTCGCGGAGTCTTAGATTTAGATCGCCGTTTTTGTAAATATAAGTCCTTCGTCCGGTCCAGTTCATATAAAATTAGACTTGGATTTATACCAAGCTTACCTATATTCTCTTTTTGTGTACTTGTTTGGGCATAAATTGCATTGCGTATTTGGACATCTTTAACGCATTTTGAAAAGTCTACCTTGGCAGAAGTTGTTTTTTGTTATACATTTGTTGAGGTTTTCTGATCGACTCTGCCATTTTTTTACAGTGCGCTTCCACTCTTGTTTAAGTGGCTTGAAGACACTTACATCTGCTGGTTGTAGAATATGTGTGGTGTTCAGTGGTAAAGCATATAATATTATGTCATTATTTTCGCAGAACTTACTAAGTGGCATGGACATGTGCGATTTATGTCCATCTAAGAAAAATAGAACAGGCTTTTTCACGTTTTGTTGTATCAGCCAATCGTTGAACCCGTTAGAAATGTATTCAAAAAATGTATCTGACCGCATCCACCCCGTTTCCGATTTTCCCAAAATACAGTTAGGCGGCATGCTATCGACGACTGATTTAGGTGGTCTTTTATATGGGAATACCACTAAAGGGGGACATATTTCCCCAGATGCAGTCATTACTACTAGCACAGTTATATTCTCTTTCTCATTGCCTTTCTTAACAACGTATACGTTTTTATAGCCTTTAGGACCTAGGACTTTCCCTGATTTAGGAGATAATAAAACCCCAGTTTCATCAGAATTTAGAATACGACTGGGATCTTCTATAATATCTAATGCATTTTTTCAGTCAAGAAAGTATGTAAATCTGCAAACCATTTTCGGATTGAACTTTCCTTAACGGCTTCTCGTGCCTTATTAATAGCTTCTGGCTCTCGGATGCTTATATTTGGATGGCGTTTGAGAAAGTTGAGATACCATCGAATACCAGGTTTACCTCCTGGAAAGCGATGGTCTACACCCAGGTCTTTTGCAAGCTCAGCCACTGTATCTAGAAGGTCATTTTTGTTGATAGGAATTCCGGCTTTAGCCAACTCAATTATCCAATCAGCAATTTTTTTTTTCTCCGTCAAACCCAAATATTGGATCTGGCCCCACTTTTCTCCTTTGATCAGCAGCACGATCAGAAAGCTTGTCTTGTACAGTAGATCTTGGAACACCGTATTGCCGGCAAGCTTCCCAGATGCTGCAAATGTTATTACGTATATTTGAAAGAGCGCTTGTCAGGGCTTCTTCACTATAACCAAACTTTCGGGAAGGCTCATAATTTTTTTTCTTTTTCTTTTCTTTATTGTTAGGTGCCATCTGCAAAACAAAACGAGCAAAATTCTAACACCAAGCACATGTATCCATAAGCACATAGAACCAGTTAATAAGCTTGGTAAATTAATAAATATTAAGTACAATAGCTTTGTTCTCGGTGTTAAAAAGTAGCCTATTCAAATTAGTATTCATTCAGAGCAAGGCTAACTATGCCAATTTTTTATATACATATGTATATTAGTTATATGGCAGGAAGTAACAAACATAAAGTCACAAATAAATATAACGATCAGAAATAGGTTTCATTTTAGCCATAAATTTATTAGTCGCTTAGGGTCGTAAACAGATTTACGTTTTACTAATTATCGGCCGTTCTTTTTTCATAAGGTCAGAATCAGGTATTATTTTCACCAATAATCGGTTGTTATTTATTTGTAATGGCCGGAAATAAGTTTTGATTTTCTAGTTATCAGCCGCCGTTGTTTTTGAACGTGATATCTTTGAAAATATGAGGTGTAATGGCGGCCGAAATCTGGTAATGAATTTATAATTTTTTGGGTTTCCACAAATATTATGAAATCTATGATTGTGAATTTAAAGTTTACCCAATTAAGACAAAGAAAAGCGTCATGAATCAACCGGTTTTGCGACCACCTGGTCGGAAAGTAGATTTTTACATAAATCGTTAACGTATTGCCCGACCACCAAATATAACACATATTATTTAAAAAAATGTGTTTGGACACTTGCATATTAAAATTAAACATGCCAAACACACGCAAAGCAAAACAAACACCAATAAAACAATAAAAAACTTAAAACTTACCTTTGAAAATCAAACCACGTGTTTATTTTTTTCACTAAATTTGTCACACGTCTGCACACCAAATTTGGAAATGGCGACTGAGAGCTCAGTTCGTTTACTACAACGACAAGTCGTTGTTTTTATAAATCGTGAAGTACGTCAGGAAAGAATAGCGCGAAATTGGAAAGGAGTGGTCTATAAGACTGGTTATAATTCAAAATAACGTGATAAGTGGCCGAAAAGGGGTAGTGGTCGGTAAAGTAGTAAGTCTACCCTACCTATTTCGTAAAGCTCAAATCTCCGCTTGCCATCCTAAAATGTTTTAAAATTTAAATTTTGATACCTATTCCATTTGTGAATTACTACAAAAGTACATTATTTGCTTACTTACATAAATTTTCCATCTCGTAAATATGTGATGTGATTATCACGTTCTCGCATGACACTCAAATTCCAACTGAATTAGGCTAGGCCCGACTTGGTGGGACTCGCAATCCGCAAAGACGCGAGCGCACTATCTATCTCATCTCATTCAACATAATGCTAATGCGTTTCGTTTTTGCAACGTTGCCGCGCTGCCGACGCGTTACTCGAAAAGCAACTATTTCGCGGTAAATGTTGTTAAGAATAAATGAGAATATCTATTGAATTCGAATAAAATATTTACTGATTAAAGAAAACAGAACAGAAACTCTTCTTATAAAAATAACAACAAGTTACTAAGCAACTAAAACATGTTAAGAACTTAGAACTAGGAACAAGTATCTTCATATACTTGTCTTTGGTATGTATATACTTCACAAATGTTGATCAAACGAATAATATATTGATCAACAAACTCTTCCTCAGTGTAAAAAAAAGACCATTATAAGATCAACAATTACCGTGACAGTCGCTTAAGAGCAAACGACTTTGCGGCATACTTAGTTATGCGTCGTAAGGATGAGAATTAAAATATTGTAAAATTAGCACGACAAATTCAAAACTTCCTACGTTATAAGCGGGTAAAGGTGGATCAACAATTAGTGCCTATTTCAGCCTGATCAACAATGGCCGAAGGGAGGACAATATAAATGTATATAACTCATGTAGGATTTATAACACTTTTATGATTTTAACAGCATAACATTCAGAAGTCTTAACTGATATTTAGAAAAGAGATATACTAAAAGCAAACTTGCCGTAAGATATTTCAACATAAACAACTTTGAAAATAAATTAAATTTTTGACATGACAATTATTTATTAATTTGTCGGAAGACTTACAGCTGATCAATATGAGGTAATAAAACTCAATAAAGTCAATTAAAAGTCATAGCAAGAGAGTAAAATTAGCAAATACGTATTATAACATAGTAAACATTATACCCACACCTATGCAATTAAACATTATAAAAACATTATTCTTATTAATAGTAAATTCAAATTAACACAATAAAAAATAAATAACCCTTATTATTTTTTAACGTTGAGAATTGTAAAATTGTACTAATATTATTAAAATAAAAAATTGTTGTCGTTTTTGAATTTAATATTTTTTTATTAAAGTATTGCTTTATATAAAACTGTGAAACTGAAAAATGGTTTCATATGGAATCGACTAATCAATTTTCTATTATGTATTTTAAATACACTTTATTTTAAACACAATTGATTTGTTTTTCTTAGTATATAAAACTATTATATATAATAAATAAAATATTATATTTGATAAATTTCGCATTCACAATGCTATACTGAAAATTATTCTTAATACAAATATCGCCCGGATTACAAAAGGTCATGGGTTCGAGTCCCATCTCAGGGTGCCAGGGACCAAGTGGATTTTTTAAGCATTTTGTATTAAGAATAATATATAATTATTTTCCTTATAAAACCCACCATTTACTCAATAATTATATATATAAAAGTAATAATACTGGCCATCAGAGCAGCCATGCTGGATCAAATACAAACGTACTTTTACAAGAATAAGCTTATGAATCGACAACAATTTGGTTTTACAAGGGGTCGCTCGACAACCGAAGCCGGTGTCGAGTTAATACAAGAAATTTTTAATGCCTGGGAGGATTCACATGATGCATTAGGTGTTTTCTGTGACCTATCTAAGGCATTTGATTGTGTTTTTCATGAAACATTGATTAGGAAACTGCATTTTTATGGATTTAGAGATAACTCATTGGATTTTATTGTCTCATACTTGACTGACAGAGTACAGAGGGTTGATATCAATGGCAAAAGATCCCCTGGATCGAAAATTAAGATGGGCGTTCCGCAGGGCTCAATACTTGGTCCTTTCTTGTTTTTGATTTACATAAATGACTTGCCTTATTTCGTAAGGGATGATCACGAAATAGTTTTGTTTGCGGATGACACTTCACTCTTGTTTAAAATTAAAAGAGGGTTACCTCTAAATGACGATGTGAACAATTCTATCGCTAAAGTAGTACATTGGTTTAATGTAAATAATCTTCTCCTTAATGAAGGAAAAACAAAATGCTTAAAATTTGTACTACCTAATGTTAAAAAAGTAGATATAAATGTTAATGTAAAAGATAAGAACATGGGCCTTGTGGATACCACAGTATTTTTAGGAATAACATTAGATTCTAAACTACGGTGGGGCCCACATATTGATAGATTGTCGAGTAGACTTAGCTCTGCAGCATATGCCGTAATGAAGATACGTAGGTTAACTGACATAGATACTGCCAGATTAGTATACTTCAGTTACTTTCATAGTGTTATGTCATACGGTATCCTATTGTGGGGAAATGCTGCCGACATACAAACAATTTTTGTGCTTCAGAAAAGAGCAATTCGATCAATTTATAATCTTAGGATTAGGGACTCTTTAAGGGAGAAATTTAAGGAAATAGACATTATGACTGTTGCTTCTCAATACATATACGAGAACTTAATGTACGTTCGTAAAAATATTAGTTTGTTTTCTATTAAAAGTGATGTACACAATTTTAATACAAGAAATAAAAATAAATTAACGGTGCCTGTCACTAGACTGCAAAAAGTTAATAACTCTTTCAAGGGTCTTTGTGTGCGCTTCTACAATAAGGTCCCAAGCAAAATACAACAATTAGATATCATGCAGTTTAAATCTACTATTAAAAAAATACTTATTAAAAAAGCTTATTATAAGGTATCCGATTATGTAACAGATAAGAACGCTTGGACTTGAGATGATCCAGCAACTGGATAGGTGATTACTTCTAAACTCATTATCTTGTTTCCATTATTATTAAATGATTATGTTATTATTATAAGACCATAGTTTTTTTTTATCTCTGTTTATAATGTATTGATCTGGTAATGACATGGTTTTTGTAAATGTCATTACTCATATTAGAGCTGGTGAGTTTCTTGCTCGTTCTTCTTATCAGCCAAAAGACGTCCTGAACGAGTGGTAGGGAAAAAATGTTGGACGATTCAAAAGTACTTTTAAGAAGTCTATTTGAATAAAGATTATTTTGATGCTGGGCTAGCAAACCTCCACACTTAAAACATTTTCTTCTTTTTTCTTTATCAGCCATATTTTCAACAACCACAACAATACAAAAGAGTCACTATATAAAATTTCACAAATCACTATGAATCCATTTTCTAAGCACATTAAACAGAAGATCAATAGCTCAACTCAGTATAATGATAAGAAAATGCAGGAAAAAAGCAATTGTGATGGCAATAGCAAATCGTCGTCGTCTGTACGAAATGCATGGAACAACAAAACAAATTGCCATTATCGACGCCATATCAGTTACAAAAAATAACTTCTACTAATTTTAACAATGATGCCGTCCAATAAATAAAAATAATAAACGATTGCAACTCAAAACAAAAAAAGTCAAATTTATTATTTACTTGACTTAATAAAATGTATTTCTGAATATTAAAAGCTTGTATAAACGGATTTTTTTGGTAAATGACAACTCTCAGAGACTACTAAAATGTGTGAAAGTAACATGAGGCAACATTGCAGATTCATTTCATTGCCATACTATAATCTAAATTGCCAGTTAAAAATATGGTAGGGTAAGCAATTGGCACTTCATGTAAAATTTTGACTTTGATTGAAATTGCACATAAAAATGATCTATTTTTATGTGCATTTTAAATCAAAGTCAAAATTTGTTCTTCGATTTATTTATATTTTAGTAATTAGACAAAACATGTTAATGAAATGATCGATACGATAGAAATTTAACGTTATTTATTTAGTGTTAATAGTTAAATTTACAATTTTTGTCCTAAATGTATAGTCATTGGCATTGTAGTACAGTGATTGGCACTATTATTTAGTACAGTCATTGGCCCTTCGGAATCGCCGTCCTGTAATAAAATATTTAATATTTGCGTGCTTGTCAGCGGCTTTGTGTGCTTTCCTTTGTTCTTTTCCTGTTTATTTATTTTTTGTGAAGTTTCTGAGGTTTCTTCATCTGTTATATTTTTATTTTGACTTCCTTGTTTATCGGTATATGTCTCCTGCTTTGTTACGTCCTTGTCTATATTTAGGTCTTCGTTAGAAATATTTTCATTTGCTGGTTTAATTAATATATTTTGTATGATCTTTGGTTTTTCTTTATTCCTCTTTGCATGCTTGTATGTTTCAGATTCTATTTTAATAGCCTTTTTCTTTAAGTTATCAGCCTTTTTTTGTTGTACCATTAAACGTTTTTCTTCTGCTATCTTTAATCTTTGTTGTTTTTTGTTCTCTTTAGCTTGTATTTCTTCAGTTTTTTTATTTTGTTTTTTTAGTTCTTCGTCCTCCCATGCTTTGCTTGTTAGCACAAAGGAACGATGGTCTTGATTCTTACAGCCTTTTTTAATAGGAGTTTTCGGAATTACTAAAAATTCACTTAAAGATTGTTTAGCAGGACTTTCTTCTCCAATGTTAACTGGTATGTCATCTGTAAGTACCCTCAAGTGGGTGTTGGATGTCTCAACTGTATCAGATGTTTTTAGTAATTTTGTGTTCTTTAATATTACAGATTCTTCTATTCCAATACCATTTGATGCGTCTCTGGTTATAGGTTTTACTTGTTTTTCTGTTTCTTCATGGTTATCTTTTTCTGTCATTTCGAATTTATCTTGTTCTATCCACATCGGTTCTTCTCTTACAGGTTCTTCTGTCGTGACAAGTTCTTCTAAGATCGCAAGATCGTCTGACATTACTAGCTCTTCTGTCGTGAAAAATTCGAAAGATGGATTTTGCAAAAACTTCAGGAACAACATCTAAACTTTTTCCAGGTTTGGATATATAATCGTCTTTTACTATCAACTCGATGTTGGATGTCTCTATTATATCACTGTTTGCTTTTTTTTCATGGTTTTAATTTTCTTCCGTCATTTGCACTTCGTTTTATATTATCCGTATTGATTCTTCTCTTACATGTTCTTCTTTTGTAACAAGTTCTTCTGATATGACAATTTCTTCTGACATTAGAAGTTTTTCTGTCCTTTTTTGTATCATGTCTTGTTTTGTGATGTTTTTTATATTGACAGGGTCTTCTATTTCTTCTATGTTTCTTCTTTCTATTGTTGCAAAATATTTGTAGATATCGTATAAAACTTTAGCTTCTTTAGATGTGCCAATAAGTTGGTTCTCCATCTTTCTTTCGATCTGATCCAATTATTTTATGAAACTCTTCCTGACTTATCATAACAGTTGAAGAACTGTTTGATGTAGTTGCACATCGTTGAGCAAATTCTTTGGATCATGCTAAGCATTTGCTATAATCGACTGCATCTGGGTTAAATGGGCACAATCCTGTGGCATGAAACCCATTCTTAACAGTATCTGCTTTGATTTTCGGTATCAGTACCTTTAGTATAGGTCCTCGGATCTTCCTGGATCTTGAACAGATTTACACGTAGCTAGCCGATGCTTGGACTGTATAATTGAAACTTCCTTCGATGGTTTTCACTTCTTCTTTATTCTTAAATCTTGAGGGCCGGAGAGCTTACAAATTTCGCTCAAATCGACCCGTCTTACATTTGTTGGGGTGGCTCGCACTTAGCTCCGTATATTATCAGTTGGTTAGCCTATTACACATCTAACCCCTACTTTGCGAAGCCATCCCCCACCCTTAACATCTATGTATCACATTATTGTTAATTACTACGTTTTACTGTTTCTACATTTACATCATAAATCACGTTAAAACATCATCATATTATTGTTACATAACTCGTATCGTGTCGGGCAAGACCGCGCCGTCGAAGCTCATAATCATTCTAAGGCGCGCCGCGCTCTTGCCCGATGTATTTATGTGGTCAGAGCGAGACGGAAGATCCCGCGTAAACCAGCGCCGTCTCGCTCCGATACATTTTTATTGTTAACATGAAGGTAGTCGAACATTTTACATTTTAAACACCCCTGTATCGAGGCAATACCGTATAGAAACCCACATAAGCTCCCTTGACTCGGGCAATACCATATAGAAAACCCACATAAGCCTCCTTGAGTGAAGCAATACCATACAGAGAGCTACCTAAGCCTCCTTAGCGAGGCAATACCTTATAGAAAACCATAGCAAATAAAATCCAACCCCTCACAATCATTTAATTTGCTATAACTTAAATTATCTTAATACTAGGGGAATAAATACACCCATAGGTTGTATCATTTAATTCTAAGCTTTAACCACATTCATTTAACTAAACTTACTTATTATATATAATTTACTTAAGATCATCTAATATATACAACTCGACGAGACGTGCGTCCGTAACAGAGCTCCCCCCGGCGCAGCATCCGCGTAGCCCCATCACTCCATCGTCAGGACCGCCAGTCTCGTCGCCGGTCGCCGGAACGTGCCGCCCTTCGTCTTCACCTCCACATTGCGTATCTCGTTGTCTGGTCCAGGATATACTTTGGTGACGACGCCCCTTGGCCATACGTTGCGGGGTAGTGTATGATCCACAACTATAACCAAGTCACCCTCTTGTATCGCACGACGTCCAGCGTCGCGGGCACCTCCACGTGGTATGAGCATGGGAAGGTACTCTCGTAGCCATCGACGCCAATATTCATCGGCCAGCGCTTGTGCTGCCCTCCAGGTTCGCTTGTCGGCGCGCTCGCACGGCCCGGTAAAGGGCAGGCCGTTCGAACTACCCAATAAAAAGTGATTGGGCGTGAGTGCTTCTGGATCTTCAATATTGACTGGTACGTGTGTCAGAGGTCGAGCGTTTAAAGTGTATTCGACCTCGGTCAGTAGTGTGACTAAGACTTCCTCTCGCGGCGATTTTTCATGTAGCGTCACTCGTAATGCATTCTTGACACTTCTAACGAGACGTTCCCATGCGCCTCCTTGGTGTGGCGCGCCCGGTGATATGTAACGCCAGTCGACTCGTTGTGTAAGCGCATAGTCTCGTAGTGCCGGCTCCCATTCATTGTATGCGTCCCGTAGCTCACGGTCGGCACCTCTAAAATTCGTCGCATTGTCACTATACATTGTCTTAGGCCACCCCCTCCTCGCCGCCATTCGTCGTAGTGCCATAATCGCGGAGTCGGTAGACAGGCTCCCCACCACTTCGATGTGCACGGCGCGGGTTGAAAGGCATGTGAATAGCGCCCCCCACCTTTTCTCATGTCGTCTTCCTATTGTCACCGTCATAGGGCCAAAATAATCGACGCCACAATTACTGAATGGTCTGATAAAGGCTTCCAATCTTACTTGAGGTAGATCACCGTGTACTGGTTTCGTAGGTATCGCTTTTCTCACGCGACAGAAAGCACATTTATAAGCCACTGCACGCACCGCTGGTCTTAATCGTAATATCCAATATCGTTGTCTAACATCATTCACGACGCGTTCATTGTTCGCGTGATGGGCGCGACGGTGTTCGCGTTGAAGCAACAGCCGCGCATACGGGTGGCTGCCGTCCATTATTACTGGCGTAGTAGCGGGGGCAGACACACCCGCTGCCCTTATTCTCCCGCTCGCTCGTAATACGCCGTTCTCGTCTATGAATGGATCCAGTTTTCGTAATCGACTGCTGTTAGACAACTTTTGGCCAGCTATAAGACGGTTAATATCATTTGTGAAGCTTTCTTTCTGTGCGTTTTTCAAGAGTAACTCCTCTGCTTTGTTTATGTGTTCCGCGGTTAAATCAGTACCACGGTGGCGACATCTATCGATGAACATTAAAACCCTCGCCATCGTTCTCACGTAGCGTTCGTAAGAGGAAAAGCGATTCACATCGGGTGTGCTATTATCGTTTTCCTGCGGCAGTTGTGCTATCGCGTAACATTCATTTTCATCCGTATTGTTCGTGACGTCACAGGTAGGCCACTCTAATTCGCTAGCGTATAAAAAGGTCGGTCCAGTGAACCACCTATCCGTATTCGATTTTACGTAAGCTTCGCCTCGCGTTGCGTCATCTGCGACGTTATGTGCAGTAGGCACCCATCTCCACTGTGACGCCGTCGTGGTTTCAGTTATTTCGGTTACACGATGAGCCACATACGGTGTAAAACGCGCTGTATCATTGTTTATCCACTGCAGGACGGTTTTTGAATCGGTCCAATACACGACGCGCTCTGCATGCCATCTTTGTTCTCTCGCTACGGTATTCGCCAACCGCGTAGCGATTAACGCTGCCTGCAATTCCATTCTAGGAATACTTTGTGAGGACACTGAATGATTTTTAGAAATCGACACGCCCCCTTACATAATTACAGGTGTCTACGCTAGTGTGGGTTAGCTCATTGCACGTTCCTCAGAAGAATAACAAATGCCTATCGGTTAAGCGCCAGCAGATAAACTTTGTACTAATAAGAATGACGTTTTATAACCATCGAGTGCTTTGAGTTAGCTGTCTAAAGTGCTTACACAGTAGGTGGCGCTGAATTTTTTTAAAAGAAAGGAATAATTTCTTTTTACTCCAGATTTTTATGGGGTTTAGAAAGGACAAGTATGTTTTTTCTTTTTGGGTCGACAAAATAACATACTATTATTTTGTCTGTTTCATATTTCAGAATTTTATTCTAATTCATTGATATTTTAAAAAATGCTTTGCATTGAATAATTAAAAGATTTAAACTTTAAAGAAATATGAAATAACTATATAAAATCACTTATGATACCACACATCACATCACATTTCTTCACTCGATTTTAAACCTTAATGTAGTGAAGGTAGAGTTAAAATAATTGCGATAATTTGATAGACTGTAGTAACCTGACTTGCTGCTGTGTGTACCTGATAATGTCGGCCAATCAGAATAAACCAAATATCACGTCATGGCACTTAATCCCCGCCGAGTTTGACTGAGACGGACTTTCATACCTTATTCTCATTACAAGAAGAGTCATTATACATTTTAATTGTACGAATTTTTGGTAGGTCGGCTTTACGTAAACGAATATTCACCATATGCAATATTAATTGGAAGTCATTGTAGTTAGTACACATATCCATATCGAACTTGCCGGAGGAGGAGAAAAAAAGCAATTTTAGAATCGTTTTTATGAGAATATAGGGTAGACGCGCCTGTTTCTACCATTGTCTTGCTGTCGAACATTTCATGGCCCGTTTTAAAATAATTAATGCTTTAAGAATTGGACTCTACCTGATCTTTGGACTGGAGTTAATAAAACATATCCTGTTTTCATAATTTGAAGAAAAGTTATGGAGGTGGAATGATATTTTGTAATACTGACGCATCATCAAAGTATAGGACTGGTTGACCGGTTAGGGTAAAACCATTAAAACACAATCATTTTATTAATCCCATAAATATAGATGATTTCAAAGTTGCCGTCAGACATTTTTTATTTGATACTGGAAAGCGAACTGATTCAAAAACAATATCTTAAAAGTCTATCCATATTTTAAATAGTACATTAAGTATAAAGAGCTTGAAGGAAAGGCAAAGTCATCCAAAAACACTCTTTTTATGAACTCCGAAACAATCATAATACTACAATTATTAAATGAAAATTCACTAAAGTTTTTACAGATAAACTTATCATTGGCTTAGATAGTTTTTGTCATGGAAAATGTATTTTATTTTAAAAGAAAATTGTCTTCGATTTATAAAAAAAAAATATTCTTGTACCAAAAATATGATTTATAGATGTATCACAACATCTGTAGCTGTAATTAAAAATATAGAGAAAAAACTGTTTTGTCCATCCAATCCCTATTAAGTCCTTTATTATCTAAGCAGAGATATAATTTTACTTTCCAGTTTATGAGTAAACATATAAGTATGTAGTGAAATTTCATTAGCAGACAGGGAACTAAACGCCATTAAATACTTTACATCCGCTGTATATCTATATACAACGTGTAACATAATTAACGCACATTCTGAAAGTAGTTTGTTTATATTTCGTTATACTAACATACAGTTAATAAATACATCGAAGTGTCTAAGGATTATGGGATATATGATAGCAAGACTATGCTAACTGATTTTCATAACAAATAAGAATCATAATTATTGCCTTAACTTAAAAAATACTGAAGCCGTAATTTTCACGTCATTGTGTTGATTTGTAAAATGTCCACACCGTTACCCAGCAATAAGTATAACTGTATCATAAACAATGTTTAATTTTATTTATAAATCCATTTTATAAATTCATTTTCTAATTGGGT